GAACATTAGACTTGCATCCATCGTAACAAATAATGTGGATTAATGATATAGGATACCCGATGGTTCATTTGCATCAATCCACCCCTTGCAAAGCAAGGGTCATCCCTCTAGTTTGTTTATTATATTTGTTATTACAAAATATATTAATTTAATATTAAGCATCATATAACACATACATGATGTTATATTTAAGAAAATATACATTTTATTTTATTTTCTCTTGGTAAACTATTCCTGTATATAAAAAAAATTAGGAAAAATTTATATTATTACCATTTATTATATATAATTATTGAATATCTATTAATTATAAATAGATAAGATGGTTATTAAAAATAAATATATTAGTTATTGATAAAGTTGCACACAAAAACCAGATCCTCGATTTGAAATTGATCCGATCCAAAAACCGGTTTTGGTCAAAACCGGATTAGACCAAAACCGGATTGAAATGGATCGATCAACCAGACGAAAACCAGATCCTGATACTAAGGAAAAATCGGATTTGATACCGGATCAAAGACTTGATTTGCTAAAAACTGTTTCCAAATCCGTCCCAAAATCCACTAAATCCCACTAAAAATCGGTTTAAACCGATTTGAAATTGGATTAAAATCAAATTCAAATTTGGTTGAAATCGGATCGGATTCGGATCCGGATTGGATCCTGCATTTGTACACCTCTAGTAATGGTAGGCATTTTTGAAAGATTATCGCATTGCATCAATTAAAGAGTAGTTGTCTCCAGAATTTGAAATGGAGGCGTAGGAGAAATTAGACATATACTTGGCACAAAGGGGTGACATGCCCGACTACAAACCCAAAATCCAGAGCATAGTCAAAGCCTGGTCAATCAAGAATGGGGAAGGTTAGCTTGACCTGTAGGCTGCCCCTGAAAAACTAGATTGTTAACGCTCATCGACTTTTCATGGGGTATCCCTTTGGTAAAAAAACCTCGGGATTTGTGGGCTTTTTATTTTTCATGTTTTAAGTTATAACAATGTACTTGTGTCGGTTGGTTTACTTATAGCCTTCTGCTTTCCTTTGTTCTATTATAACATCCTATTTATATTGATTTGTTTATTATAATACCATATTTTTATTTGTTTTTCCTAGTTTTGCTTGATTAGTATTCTACTTATATTGATTTGTTTATTATAGCATTCTACTTTTATTTCTTCCTATTATAGCATTCTACTTATATTACTTATAACAGTTTCTTCTTATTATACCTAGATAGAAAATTGATATTTTTATAATCCTCTTGAAGCCTTCCACCCTAACGACTCGTTGTCAAATGCACATAACCAATGTTTCGAGTCTGATTAGAATGCTTAGTTGTATTTATTAAGCTTCAAAATTATACATAACACCGATCAAATTTGTAATAACTAGCATGCTCAAAGGGCTATTGTAACATCCATAAATTTTACGCAAAATTTAAACTTTTCCAATCACAATTAAAACGCAAATAGTGTTTGTTTACAAATTGTTTTCAAATCATTTTTCATCAGAGTGTCCCAAAAACATATACATATTATAAGGTTGAGGAGCGGTACGGTCGCGCCTTCGCCTTGCCACGATCTCCTGAAGTACCTGAAACAATAACTGGAAACTGTAAGCCCAAGGGCTTAGTGAGCTACCACTAAAATACCAATACCACATTGTTAATATCATATCAGTAATAAACAATCAATCAGTATGCATAATGGGCCATCAGCCCGAATGGACCGCCGTACAGGGCCTACAGTCTAACTGAATCTATACCGAGCCTTCGGCATGACTGGACCACCTTGTGGGCCTACAGTCTCCCCGGACCGCTCGTAGGGTATGTTGGCCTTCAGCACAAAGCAGGACCGCCTCAACCCAACCCCCAATCAAACAAACATGTGCACATAAATATCATACACTAGCATTGATAACAGTCAAACCGATCTAACAGATCAAATAGCATAACAATATCCTATAATCAGGATACCGATCTAACCGAAATCTATCATAGCAACCATCCTAAACCATGATGAAATCTAGCATATCGGTAACATAGCAACCATCCTAAACTAGGATGTATCTAGCATATCAATAACATAGCAAACATCCTAAACCAGGATGAAATCTAGCATATCAGTAACATAGCAACCATCCTAAACCAGGATGTATCTAGCATATCAATAACATAGCAACCATCCTAAACCAGGATGAAATCTAACATAAAGGGTCGGCCTTGGTGCCTTAGACTCTTTTGATACAGTGAGGATAACTCACTTCGCAGATGTCAACTCGATAGATAAATACCAACTCTCGGATCACTATTACCATAGTACGAGCATACTCATAAATTCTTAACCTCACAAGTACTCCAAAAACCAACCAGTCAACCCCAAGTCAAGTCAAAGTCCTCAGTCAAGGTCAACAGTCCCTGTTGACCTTAACTCGCCGAGTACCCTCGACTACTCGCCGAGTTCTTTGAAGTTCTTTCCTACTCGCCGAGTTACCGGGTGACTCGTCGAGTTCATACGATTTTCGATCGAAACCCTAAGGCCACTCGTCGATTTTCCTTCTTGCAACACGTCGGCTACACACACATTCATAACTCGGGGAAAACTCATCCGACTCGTTGAGTTGTTCATACAACTCGTCAAGTCTAAGGCAATTTTCATCGGACTCGCCAAGTTGTTCATCAACTCGTCGAGTCAATAGCCATCTTCATATGACTTGCCGAGTCAACCTTACGACTCGCCGAGTTCCTTCAATCCTTAAGCCATACAGACTTATTTAAGCCATGTAATGGCTCCAAATTACAGATCCAAGCTTCTAGGACATGCTTTTCACGTAAAGTTGCAAACTTTACGTGCCTGCATCACTAAAAAGGCTATTAATGCCAAATCTAAGCTCTTAATGGGGTTTCATGCACAAGGAGGGCCTCAACTACAACCAAAACAGAAACTTTATGATTCTAGAACTTGAGAAGGGTCCAGATCTGAAGTTACAACTTCAGATCTAGCCCATAGCTCATCAATATGACTCCCAAAAATCCATAAAACCCTAAAACTCAACCACAAAGAGAGCTAGAAGAAAAGGGGAGTAAAGATTGCAACTTGATACCTCCAAAAGATGCTAGTAGAGGTAAGTGCTATTTCCCACAGTTTCCTTGCCTCAATTCCTTTGCTCTTTAAGCTCTTCCCTCCAAGCTAATCTTCTTTCCAAGGTCTAAACACACCACAAGGAGTACCACACGAATTAGGGTTTCACTGAGCTCTCAAAGACTGTAAGGAGGCCAAAGGAGGCTGAGGCTTCCTTAAATAGAGTGCAAAACCCCGAGATTTAGGGTTTCCTCTGCTAGCTCTTACTCGTCGAGTCCCTCCCTGGACTCGGCGAGTAGGTGACTTAACACACGATCTCACCCCGTTACTACTCGACGAGTAGGGCAACCAACTCGTCGAGTAGGACTTAATACCAAAGAACCTTTTATTTAAATCCATACACGAGAATCGGGGCGTTACAACTATCAGTATAAATAAAGAATTCATCACCTCCATGGACGATGATCAATTAATCACATTAACAAACCTAACCCTAGCAAATGCCAAAATAAAATAAATATATCCTTGGAGCGAACAACTATAATTACATAGTTTAAAAGAATTTACACTCTTAAGAAATCATGTAAAAGCCCCCTATCTGGCCGAAGGCAAGTATATGTTAGGCTTCCCCACAAAAAGCCTTGAATACTCCTGAAAATTAACCCAATGAAGCCTAATGGCCCACTCGTTGACCGTTCAAAGTAATGCCAAGCCTATCCTGGCCTGAGGACTCGGGTCTAATATACACCTCTACGTATAGTTATAGTCCAAGATAGAGTAGAGATGATGCACTCTAAAACTTTACCATAATAAGTATATTAGACTAGTGTTTGTGATAGAAAACTAGAAGTACACATTTAGGTAATCAATTGAAGCTTTAAAAGAAACAATAATCACAAAGGGAGGAAGACAAGGAAGGGGTGGTTAGAGTTTCTAATGCATCAACAGTAAGTAGAATTGTTCATCAATGGGTGGTTTTTATACAATCAATCCAATCCAATTATACACTAGATATTGGATATTGCCAAATGATCCAACCCAATTAACCACGTCCAAATGAATCAAACCAATCCAATTCGACATGGAACTGATCGGTTCTATCCATTCATCCAATGTCCATCCCATTTTACATACAATTTAAAAAAAAAACATATGTTTCAAAATATATTTCAAACATCCAAATTTCATAGTTCATCAACCAAAATACGATAGCTACTTTAGAAAACATACATCTTTATTACAATTTTGGTATTTTTTTTATAAATATTTATAAAATATGTAATAATAACGTGATAATAGTTGGATGATATTACAACGAGAAATTTAGTCTTTACAACAATTTAAAGTTTCATGGATAGAAACTATTTTTCTTCTTTTGGAAATGCCAAAAGTTCACTCTCACTCATCCCAGCAAAATGATTTTGATAATCCTTGATCAACTCTGCTCCATGACTCTCCTATCTAACATTAATGATCTGGTCAAGAAGCCAACTAGATTTTGGGAATCTTTATGTTGTGGCATTCGCTTTTCTACATATTTCTTTAATTCCTCATGGGAAAATCACAATAAGAAAGAGCAACTCTAGGCCACTCTATTAGTGGACTACGATTAGATCCAAGACAAGACAGTATTCAAAGGAAGTGCAGACCAGCTCTACCCATATTCTCCAGCCCTACATTAAGTTAGCAGCATTTAAACAAAATACAAAAAGCTCTTCAGGTATACAACATCTAAAAGCTCCATAACAAAAAAAACCAAGAACATCATTCACATAAATCACAATGCAAGCCATAAGGCAATCTACAGAATCAAAGACCTGATGGTTCATGTGGAAACCTATAATACATCAGGAAAGAGCAATCTAATTACACATGATCAGGCAAGGTTGAGTTAAATCAAGGAACAAGTATGGAAATATCAAAAACAAAATAAAGATGCCAAACATATCACCATAGTGCACAAACAACCAATCCTTACCAGTCGTACAATGATGGCATAAAACGAACCGGGAAATATGGCAGAAATGAAATGCTCTGATGCAGAAGCCAGGCCATATAAGATGAGACAGATAAGGGCTACATTAACGAACCCAGGGTGCGTTGTAAAAGGGAAATCAGATCCCTGCGACTTCATTTCCGCAAAAGCATACAAACTAGTAATTATAAAGCTGATTGGGGATGGGGGCATGTCTACAGCGCCAAATGTTTGAGGGTAATAATCGATCAATAGGCCGCGGATAGAATCCAGTAGATTAAGGATGCAATTGGGCAAAAACGCCATGGCGCCATTGTCGGCTGCTTCTTCCGCTTCTGCCCGTGGTACTTCCATATTTGTAGCTTCTTGGTCGACATGATTAATAATGGAAGAAGACATCGACATCTTTGCTATAAGTTTTGAAAGAGAGACTTGGATATTGCTTTCTTTTATAGTGTCACGGCCTCACAGCCACGGGTCATTAAAACGCCGGCTACGACTTCGTATGTCGTCAGGGCGGGCATTACAATGTTTACTATCGAACACGGGGATGTCAAGGTACAGTTTAAACTAACGAAAAATACAGACAAAATAAGGTTTCTATTGTTATGAAAAAAAATACAATTACAATGAAACGGTAGCTATTAAGTAATAAGTTCAATTACAATGAAATGAAAGGAAGCTAATTAAGTAATTAAGTAAACCTAGTTTATGGAATGATAAAACATTGGCCCATACCAAAAAGGGCCTAATAGATTTCTTAGATTAACATCCCCTCAAACTCATAATACGACACAATAAGTATTGAAAGTTTGTCGGAGAGAAAATAAAATTGAGGATCAATCAAGGCTTTCACAAATATATTAGCAATCTCCAAGTGGATGGAACATAAGATAGAGAAATGGTCCCATGTTGAATGTAGTGACAAGTGAAATGACAATCAATTTAAATATGCTTAGTTCGCTTATGGAACATTGAATTCTTGGCAATCATTATCGCACTCTCATTGTCACAGTGCAAAAGGGCAAATTGAGAAATATAAGCACTCATATCTGCAAGAAGTCATCGCAACCAAACAATCTCACAAGTAACAACAACCATAGCTCGATACATAGATTCTATAGGTGATTGAGAGACAACATCATGTTTTTTATTCTTCCACGAACTCAACGAATCTCCACTAACAATACAATACCAATAGTGGACTTGCAATCATAAACAACACTATCCTAATGAGCATCACTATATGCACGCAGCTCAAGAGATGTTGTGGAAGGAAACACAAAGCTACAGAAACTAAGTACCACGAAGATATCTCAAAATAGGAAGAATAGTTCTCTAATGAACACTAGGAGCAGTGACAAATTGACTAACCACATAAACTACATGAGAAAAATATCTAGCCTAGTGAAAGTAAGATAAACCAAACTTCCCACAATAGTATGATAAATGCTCAGATATGATAAGGGGACACCATCAGTTCGAGAATACTTTGCATTACTCTCTAGAGGAGTATCAACTGTACGGTTATCCGAGAGCCTAGCGCATTCAAACAAATATGAGATATACTTCACATGAGATTGAGCAACTTCAATCCCTAATACATAACGTAGTAATCCTAAGTCTTACATAGCAAATCGGTAGGCCAAATTATGCTTCAAAGACTATGTCATCATGATCATCACTAGTAATAATCATGTCATCAACATATAAGGAAAAAATACTTCGACGTGCACTTATACGTCTCACAATAAAGTTGAATCACGATTACAAGCACAAAAACCAAGCGAAGTAATTATCAAAACAAGCAAGTGGGCCTTATTTGAGACCACAAATGCTTTCCGAAGCCCACCGTCACACCCCTAGCCGACGGTGGAAACACCGGGCGGTGAGACGACATCATGAATCATAGTCATTTGCATACATAGAAAAATTCAACATAACATAATATACAAACTTTTATTAATGAAAAATGGAAATTACAACATTCCTTATCTAGTAGTACTTGATAATCTAAAATACGGAGTATGCCTTAGTAGTTAGGCAACTATGAAAATATGACAAAATGATAGATAAACAGTAATCACATGATTGTTTTCCTATGTATGATTTCCAGTTTCTTAGTTTCCTAAGAATACATGCATTTTGAAAAAGCATCAACATAATGTTGGTGAGTTCGCAGGTTTGACTCAATGTACTTTTAAAGCAAAAGTATGTTTTCACCGTATATAACTACTTTACTATCACACCCCCGGCTGCAGGCGAAAACATCAGGCCGCAGGCGAGAACTACGTTTAATTGGTTGTACCCTTTTGATCACATCATCTTCAGAACCACCTTCTCCGTTTTCCATTTTAATTTCATGAACTGTGGGTAGGGTGTTAAAGTTTGAGTGTACTACAAAGTTGTCTTTTCTTTTCCCAAAGGGTGTCACCTATTCTAAAGGCTTCCCAAATGAATGCATATGTGTTACATCAAATGAGTCTAGATGTATACTAGTTTGTCCTATTTGAAAAGTAGGAACAGTCTCTTTAGCATCTTCATGGTCTTCATCTAACTCCCCGTAATATAAGTTTCTGATCATTGATTCACATCATAGAAAATGAGGCTCAATAGTTCACAGTTATAAGTTGTCATGTATCAGATGAAAAGCATACATGGTGACATCAATATATGAATGTAGGAGTTGCTCCTTTTCAATAATAGCTTGTTTCTGTTCACTATGTAGTTGCTGATGGAATACATCCATATGAGCATCTGATACTACTAGTTCCAGTTGATCAAACAAGTAAAAAAACAACAATAATAAGGGCAAAGATGTCCGAAAAGAGCATAAATTTCAACAGAAATTACCTACTTTGAAGCATGATTATCAATAAACTATTAGAGTAAGAAACCAAATTCTGAATTAGAACTAAACTTGGTGTGGTTATATAAATGCAGTAAGTATAGAGAGATTACATTGACTTCAAGTCCATCAGACTCCTTGAGAGCATAGATAACATCAAGGTCAGCTAAGTCACTCTCTGTTTGAGGTTCAGCACCCTTCTACATCAAAAACACCATAACTTATGTTATGGCTTTTTCCTCGCAAGTGCAACACCTCACCTTCATGAATATCGACTTCCGCTTCACTATTCCTCTTCCTCTAATTGTTGATTTTCTATCTCCACTACCATCGTTTCATTAATTGTACCCATCTACGCTTTCGAAATGAAGAAATCGAGGTTCAGGTGGTCGGTGATTTAATATCCCCTAATCGATAATCTAAAACCCTAAATTCCTAAGCATGCGATTGCAGTGTAAACCAGATCGAGAAACCTCCTCGCCGGAGAAAATAGATAGATGGACATGGTTTCTGACGGTGGGAGGAGTAGAGGTGGACGGATGTGGTGAACGAGGGAGGAAGGTTGTGAACAACCAGATCTAGAGAAAGTAAAGAGATAACGTTTGGTGATTACGATGCCGTTTTCAGTGATACCGATGACTGTCCGGTGATTCCGACAAAGGTCCGGCAACTCCGACAGTGGTGTTGTGTTCTCAGTGGTGGTGCAACTGAATAAAAAGATATATGATTTCATATTCGTAGCAGGGGTGGGTGGGTTGGGATTAATGAATAACGATTTTGTTTAGTGCAGGCTAATAAATGTTCTCAAATATTTTCAAGGGTAAATTACACGAATCGTCCCTCGTGCAAGTGCCAAAATGCACGTTCAGTCCCTATTTTCAAAAATTAACTCGGACCGTCCTTCATATCGTAAAAAGTTTCACGCTTCATCCCTTGTTAGTTTGAATTTGCACGTTTCATCCCTTGTAAGACATGAAATGACTATAATGCCCTTTTTAATTTCTTTTTCATTTATTTTTACATTTATTATTATTATTATTATTATTATTAAAAATTATTTTTATCAGGAAATCTCTCTCTCTCTCTCTCTCTCTCTCTCTCTCTCTCTCTCTCTCTCTCTCTCTCTCTCTCTCTCTCTCTCTCTCTCTCTCTCTCTCTCTCAGGCACACACACACCTGTTGAAGAACACTTAATCACTACCACCACACTAGAAATCTACGCCACCATCGGAAATATGCAAACCCACCACCTACAATCTACCACTAGTCGGCATCATTGTCCACCTTTAACAACCACCGGCAAAGCACCACCACTAACCAATGAAATCAAATCCAAATGAAATTCAAATCTCAAATAAATCAAAATCCAAACAAAACCTAGAAATCAAACCTTAAACTCAATTTTGAAAACCAGTCCAAAAAAAAAAAACTTCAAATCTATTGAAACCATCACACTTAACCACCACCATAACCTGTAATCTGCACCACTTCTGGTAATGGAGCACCACCGCTAACCATCGCCATTTACCCTCACCTCACCAGTTGTACTGTGTTCATCGTCTTCCCCATCACAGTCGACAAAATAAGGGATGTTCTTTTTTCGTCTTCGATGTGCTGGAAACTCGAGTAAAGCATCAAATTCTGAAACAATCAGCTTTTGGGATTTTTCTTGATTCAATTCCAGTGGGGGTCAATTTGGGGTTTTTATGAAACCAAACCCTTCAAATCTAGTGAAATCATCATTTTCGGTATGAAATCGACAAGTAGATGGGCGGCGATGATGCATTAGGAACCTGCAAATCTTGTTCTGGCATGAGTGTCATATATAAATTTGGTTTTAGATGGTGAAGGTTTCCAAATCGGATGGTGGCTGGAGGTAGAAGTAGAACCTTCGGTTTCATGATCTCACCGGAGTGGCTTCAGGGTTGCCGGCGAACATATTAGGCGGTGGTAGTGAGAGGTTCAGGGGTCGCCGGAAGGGGAGGTTGTTTGATCGATGGAGATGAAGACGAATGGGTGTGAATGAAAAGGATGCGAATCTGGGAAAGGGAGGGATGGGCGGGTTTGTGTCAATATGTTTTTTTTTTTTAATTTTCTTTTTAATTTAAAAGTGATATATAAATAAATAAAATTGAAAAAGAAATTATTAAGGGTAAAATAGTCATTTTATGTTTGTAGGGACGGTCAGAGTAAAAAAAACGTTTATTCAGGGACGGTCCGAGTTAATTTTTGAAAATAGGGACTGAACGTGCATTTTGGCACTTGCACGAGGGACGATTCGTGTAATTTACCCTATTTTCAAATTAGTAAAGAGAAATTAAATATCCTCCTATTTTTTATTCTTACAAATTTTTCTACCCAATTTGATAGTGATATATGTCACATTTAATGCTCATTTAATGATATTTTGGTATGATAAAATACACATGTCATCATTTAATTGGGTAGGAGTATTTATAGGAAGAAAAATATGAGGATATTTAATTTCTCATTAGTAAATGCTCTCATTTGAACATACCTCTCTCTCTCCTTATCTATCTTTCTTGTGAGACGACCTAATTTTGTGAGACCATGAGATACAATTCTAGCCACTCATTTGTAGATAAAACAAAAACATTTTTAAAATGCAAAATAATTGAAAATTTTCGAAATTTTTTTTCCAATATTGTTTTCGGAATATATAATTTCCCAAAAAAAATATTAAATAAAAAAAATAAAAAATAAATACAAATAAATTATATTTTTTACATATTTTAGTAGAATATTTAGAATATTCTACATATCTGGCAAATCTAGTAGAATATTCTAAAAAATCTAAAAATCATATTAGAAATATACAGTGTAATATTCTATTAAAGTATTTCACGTTTTTTTTTTAAAAAACGGTAAGTTTTTTTTAATTTTTTTTAGTTAAATAAAGTTTCGAAGATAATAATTAAAAAAAGAATTTTTGGATTTTTCATTTTTATTTGTATTTTAAAATTATTTTTAGATTTGGTCTCACGGTCTTACAAAATTAGCATGGTTTCAAATGAACATCGACTTTTATATATATATATATATATATATATATATATATATATATATATATATATATATATATATATATATATATATATATATATATATATATATATAGGGTGAGGTTCAATAGAGAACCATAATTAACCAAGGAACCGAGAAACCAATCTTTTTTTCAACTTTTACAACTTATTTTTTATAAAAAAAAAAACTAAAAATACATAAATTCATAATTTTTTATCCTTTTTCCAATGATATCAAATTCGATTTTTTTTTCTTACGTCGAATTCACAATGTGAATCTTTGAAAATTCACAACGTGAATCCGGATTCACACGGTGAATCCGAAAAATATTTTTCACATTCACAATGTTAATATATGAATTTAGATATTTTTAGATGTTTTTTTCGATAAAGAATAAGCTCTAGAAATTGAAAAAAAGATTTGGTTCCTTGAAGAACCAAAAATTATGGTTTTCTATTTAACTTTTTCCTATATCTTTATGCCTTAATAAACATTTAGCATGTTTTGCTGAATTTTAACAGGTACAAAACCTTATGCAATATATACAATGAATTTATTCGTCCAGAAAAAGTCCGTCTATTATCGTTTGAATAAGTCAAGCTGAGGTACAAGTTATAAACCACCAAATACAATTATTGAAAGCATAATTATCCTTAAATCTTGATGACTTTTGACCCAGCCCCCTCCCTAGCAATCGAGTTTTTGTTTGAATCTCTCGGCAAACATTTCAGCAATTATCTGTTCTTATCTTGACCAGGCCTTTTTCAACCAATTTGTAGTTTAAAACTAACTTTTTTGTCCTCTCTTGAGAAGAAACCTAGACGCCTTATTCACCATCGTTTGAAGAAATGGGCTGTAACATAGGCCAAGCAAATAGAAACAATTGCATCCGAGGTCTCAACTTTAGCCGTCACCACCATCATCAACTGCTTGCACCAACTTAGCACCAGTAGGCTTATGTTGTTGTGTACCGGTGACTTGAAGAGGAAGATTCAGAAATATTGACTCCATTCGTAGGATATTCACGACCCATGTCCTCAAATCTGTAAGGAACCTAACCACCACCGCCTACTCACTCTATAAGCCCTAACACCATCGTACCACCAATTCTCGTAGAAGTTGCATCTACTCTCTTACTCTCGATGTCTTTTCCAATTTTTGCCACCCACATCCGCCACAATAGAAGAACCAAGAGGTTTATTGTGTTGTCATTGAAAGATCCATGTGGCTTTGTTCTCTTATTTTACAAATCTAACATTTTTATGTTTGTTTGTTGTGCATCTTCAAGAATAGACAGTTCGATTTTCATCCACGGTACATCTCTTCAGGTTCGATCTATCTCTCTAACCATAAGAAGCCCTAATTGATTCAAACCATTGTATGCCCATTCCTCTTATGTTCTTTTGGATTCCCATACAATCTAAGAAACCTAAATGTCTTTTTATTTTTCCTTAATTTCACTTTTGGAATCTTTTAAGGTTTGCCAACACCACCATCCTCAACCGTCCCTCTTACACCACCAGTCCACAAACTCACACACAACATGCTAATCTTTGCCACCATCTTCTGTGGCTAAACAAAAGCAGAATACTTTCTGTAAGTCCCTAAAATGCCTGTGTATCAATCAGATCCGTTTGATGGTGCGGAATCCCAATCAAACGGATGATATCAGATCAAATAGAAGAGAATGAGAAGAAGAATAATATGAATCTTTGTATGTATTGATATGAATGAAGATCCGGATACAAAATATTCACACACACATAAAAGCTCTTGTTTCTCTCTGGCTGTAAACTCTCTAGGGTTCATCAATCAATTCCTCACACCCTAATACCTATATTTATACTAGGGGAACATGGGCCGGAAACAAATGGGTCGTAAATGAGTTTACGGCCGTAAGGTGTTTACGACCATAAACTCAGCCGTAAACATGACTATAAACTCATAAATATTACAGGAAAATACAATTGCCTAGAAAAGCAAAGTATAAACCATATTTTGACCCAACAATCTCCCCCTTGGTTTATAGCTTTCTTTTCTTAATTGACCCAACAAGCTCCCCCTAAAAAGCAGCTGGCTTTCTTGATAATCTTCATTGGAAACTTGGCTTCAACATTAATCTTCAATTTTTTCAATGAATGTCTTCATCTTGAGCAGTTGGGTTTTTCTTCAGAATTTGGCATTGAACGCACGTTGGGTGAGGAGGCTTGATGTACTGATTCTTGAAAGATAGCGCTTTCAGCTTGAGAATCTTCAGAGATAACAAATCTTCTGGATCACTTCAGCAGGTACAACGATAGCAGCAGACTGATTGAGGAGGCTTCAATGCAATCCGTCACATAATCTTCGATTTCTGCTTCACCTTGCTTCTGGGGTTGAAGGATTGAATGTTGAAAGAATGATCTTCATTTCTTGCTCCTTCGAATGAGAATTCTTCGATGCTCACGGACGAAGCCTTTGGCTCAGAAATCTTCAACACAAACTCCATGAGTCTTATCTATACCTGAAATCACTTTTCAAGACAAAACAAAACTAAAAGAAAACTTAGCACACAAATTAAAACAGAAACAAAAGTATTTTTGGATTTTTCATATTTTTTGAAAAAGAAATAAAACAGAAATAACACTATTTGTTTTTTTTTTTAAATTTTATTTTCTGATTTTTTTTATTTCTCCCCTAATATTTAAATTAGAAGAAACTATGAACAAATTTAACAAAAATAAAATGATATCTAACTTTAAGAATGATTTGGGATCAAAGTTGTTAGACAACCTTAATCCACTTGTCGATACCTTTCATATTCGCATCTTTGTCTGGTCGATCGTCGGTATTGTGGTCCACTTAAACACGAAAATTTGTGACAAATTTAGGACACACTATTTGTTACAAGACAAAGTGAACTTAAGTTCCTAAAAATTATATCTGATCCTAATTTCTTAGATATTATATCTTAAGGACCATTCATCTGACGACGACCAGGGATATTGTTGTCCACCTAAATTGAGCAGCGAGATCTATAGACAATCTTTGAGTGTTCAATTTTAAGTGTACTAGAACGTGTTTCCCGCTTCCTGATATGCCCCAGCCATCAAGAACTTCCAGAGTACTCCTTACACTGGGTGAGCAGACAACCATTTAGAGAGAGGATAGATTCAGAATTCTATTACTTATTACCTCAGAGGGGTTTAGAAGTAGAAGGTTACATATGCTGTGTACCAGGTCGGATTAGAAGTCACGCAAAGGAGACATCATATGGCTAACAGATAAGAGTTGCATATATAACATGTAGAGAAATAGAGTTGCATATGTTGTGTACCAGGTCAGATTGGAAGTCACGCAAAGGAGACAACATATGACTAACAGACGGAAAGAAAGAAAATGATATTCTACAAACCTAATTTATCGGAATTTACCAGTCGCCCCATCCAACCGGAATTAATGACAAAATCCGCACATCGAGAAAAAGTTAAACCACGGTTCCAAGTACGGGTTCATTTAATGTGACGAGTAGATTCCCATATATATCTCCCTGCTCAACCTATCAGAGCGTCGTATTGTCAGGCTGAATGAATCTAACTAGGTCAAGATTTGTCAAGTCTATAAATTTCCTAAGTTCAGCTCTGCCTAGTCATGTCCATTTAAAAAATTTCGTGCCTACCGACGCATCAAACCATAGCATAGACCCTTCAACTTTGGGTACGTTACGCAGACTCAGGTTGCCTGTTATCATATTATCATATCACTTCCCAGAACATCTCCCTCAATCACATATCATAACCAACATATTTTTTGGATTTTCTGATTTTGTAATGTTTTTGGATTTTTTAAAATTTTAAAATTTTTGTTTTGTTTTTAT